CAGACCCTCAACAAGTACTAGGATTGGGAAGTCCCAGTAATTTGAAAGCATCCCACTTCAAACAAAAACAACGAGATAGTCTCGAAAGAGATAAGGAGGGAGACGACAAGGCACAAAGGGTGGAGAAAGAGAAAATGGAAAGGTGCAGTACTGGTAGTGTTGATACTTGGGGTCAATATCGGCATGACAAGGTTGGAGGTCAAGAGTATATGTGAAGAAGTAGGATTATATTGCTTCGCACGGGGGGGGGTAGAAAGGGAAGGAAACCACTTTAGAATCACGTTTGGAAGGAGAGTAAGCGCAGAATGGGAAAGACTGGAAGTAGAGAAGATGTCGGCGTGGGTGAGGAGACTAGGTTGGAGGGTGTGCATAGCAAATAAGATCCAGGAAGTAAGGCGTAGCCCAAGGCTGGCTGAAAAGAAAGGGGGGCAGGAGGTTCGAAAGGATCAAAAGGGAAAGCAAGCCAAAGTAGGGGAAGGGGGGAGCAGCGAAAGGATAAGTAAGGCAGAAGGGAAGGCGAACGAGGGACAGAAGGTATCCTGAAAGGCACGGGAAAGTAGAAAGTAGAAGTAAGGAAATCAGACTAGGGGCTTGGTATGTATGCGGGTTTGCCACAGATGAGCGTAAAAGACTCGAAATTGCCGAGCAAGCAGCCGAAAAAGACCTGGACATAGTCGGAGTCCAAGAGTCGTGGGAGAAGGACGGGGGAGAAATAGGAAAAGAAGTGGGAAGCTACACATAGATCGGTAAAATGCGGAGAGGACAGAAAATCAAGAGTATAGGGGAGGGGGGAGTTGGATTCTTAGTCAAGGAGCACATGTGCGACGTAATTGAGGTGATCAGCGACACCAAATTCAACGAAAGCATGTGGATAAGGGTACCAGGGGAACGGGGAAGGAAGGACTTGTTCGTAGGAAATGTATATATACCACCAGAGTCGAAGAATATGGTGAAGGACGTCAAGATAGGGTTCGAGGAGGTAGCAGCGGATGTACAAAACTTCAAGAGAAAGGGAGAAGTAGTTTTAGTTGGGGACTTCAATTCAAGAATCGGGCGAACCACGAACCCACACGGAGCCATCGGGCAATACGGGGAGGGAGCCACGAACAAAAACGGGGAAGAAATGCTGAGGTTCCTTGACAGTAGCGAGATGAAGGTGTTGAACGGTAGAGTACGAAAGACAGAACCGGAATGGACTAGGCAGTGTTTAAAAAAAGGAGAACGCTCCATCCTTGACTACATAGTCGTAGAGAATGAGGGGAAAGAGACGGAAGTACGAGTATGCACAACGGATGTAGGCACTACAGACCATGCGTTGGTGTGGACAGCCCTACAACAGACGAGAGTCATACAGAGTAGGCGACGCAGGAAAATGTACAGATGGAGAATAGATAAGCTAGAAGTAGAAGAAACGAGGGTAGAGTTCCAAGAAGAGATGGCTATAAACGACAAGACTCTCTCGGAGTTGATAGAGGCAATGGGCACACCGAAGGATGCCAAAGGTCGGGACCAGGCCGGATCTAGAATCATAGAAGGGTGGGAAAAGCTGGTAAACACAACGGCAAGTAGAGTTCTCGGTAGAAAGTTGATAGTTTGTAAGAGAGCAGTGAAGTGGTGGGACGAAGAAATCAAGCAAGCAATTCGAGTACGTAGAGAGTCACACGCAAAATATGCGGCAGGGAAAACCGAAGCAGGATGGAAGGAGTATGTTGAAAATAGAAAGAGGGTGAAGGAGTTGGTGGTGAAGAAGAAGAAAGCGTTGTGGGAGGAAGTAGTCCAAAAGACTAACGAAGATTTTGAGGGGGGGATGAAGCAAATGTGGGTAGGAATTCAAGGGATAGTGGGCAAGAAAAGAGGGGGAGACACGGGAATAGCGACACTACGATCTGCCGAGGGTAAGATGGTAAGCAGTTCTAAAGGAAAGCGGGAAGTACTAGTAGAGCACTACCGCAAACTTGGGACACCCACCACCAACGACAACTTCGACTCGGAGTTTGAGAAGGAAATCAACTCGTGGGCAGAGGAAAACGTTGAAAGATCTCGGAGGGAATGTAGTGATGTAGGCGGGTTGCAGGGAGAGTTCACACGAGAAGAGGTAGAGGACTGTGTAGCGAAACTCAAGAATAGAAAAGCGGCAGGGGCTGATGGAATTGTGAATGAGCTTTTGAAACAGGGGGGGGGGGGGATGATTAACATGTTGGTCCGGATATTCAACTGGATATGGAAACACGAGTACGCGCCGAAGAGATGGAGAGAAGGAGTAGTCGTGAACCTGTTCAAAAAGGGGGATAAAACTGACCCGGGGAATTATAGAGGGATAACCTTGCTGAGCACAGTGGGGAAACTCTTTGGCAAGATGATAAACAATAGAATGGGAGACATGTTGGAGGGGAAACAAAAGATCAGCGAAGGACAAGCTGGATTTAGACCAGATCGTAGTTGTGTAGACCATGTATATACGTTGAGTAAAATTATCCAAGGTAGGAAAGACGCCGGGCGTACGACATACTGTTTCTTCCTAGATGTACAAAAAGCCTACGACACCGTTTGGCGCAATGGATTGTGGAAAAAGATGTGGGACATAGGGATCCGGGGGAAAATGTGGAGGATGTTGAAAAAGATGACAGAATGCACAAGAAGTGCAGTGATGTTGGATGGGGAAATCTCGAAGTACGTGGATATACTCCAAGGAGTCGCACAGGGCTGTACGATGTCACCCACTCTTTTCAAGATTTACATCAACGACTTGATAAGCGCGGTTGAAGCAGTAAGACAGGGAGTCCAAGTAGGGGGAAAGAGTGTGTCCGGACTGATGTTTGCAGATGATTTCGTGGGGGTATCCGAAACACCAGAAGGGTTGCAGGAACAAATAGATGCGGCAGTAGGATACACCCGAAAATGGAGACTGTCGGCGAACGTAGGAAAATGCGCAGTAGTGGTCTGTAACGAAGACAAGAAAAATCCCGTAGAATTCAAATGGAAATGGGGGGAGGAAGAACTACCGGTAGTAGACAGGTATACGTACCTGGGAGTAGAGATTTCGAAGGAGTGCTCATGGGACGCACACATAGCAAAGTTGATTGGGAAGGGTAAAGCTCAGATAGGCAAGATGGACGAGATCCTTACGGACCCACACCTAGACACTAGGATTAAGAGGTGTGTTCTCTTGAATGTGATTGTACCTAAGCTTGAGTATGCAGGAGAGGTTTGGGAAGGTAACGAAAAGGCCGTCAAGCAGCTGGAAACGGTGCAGATGGCAGCGGCCAAGAAAATACTAGGATGTACAAGTACAACGAGCAACACTGTATTGAGAGCAGAACTGGGAATGTACTCTCTTAAAACAAGGAGAGACATGCAAAAGTTGAATTGGCAGTACAAGGTAAGTAGAATGTCGGACGATAGACTACCAGCCATGGTTGACAAGGCAGCTTGGGGAAAAGCGACTCCAGGGAAGAAAGGAATCAGATGGAACAAGGTGGTAGAGAGGGTTTGGAAGGAGATAGGAGACGAGGAGGAGACATTGGACACGGAAGGGTTCGGGGGGTTCAAGAAGAAAGTCAAGGAGATGCTAGCAAGTAGGGAGGATGCAACCCTTCGGAAGAAGGTACGAAGCGAAGACCACTTGGAGATATGCGGGAAGTTGAAAGAAGGGATAGGGATGAAGAGTTTCTTGGACGGCCCCATGGACTACGCAGAAAAACTGAAGTTGCAATTTCGAGTAGGCGATCTGGACTTGCCAGAACGGACGAAGAGGTACAGCAGCCGTAGGAGAGAGGAAGAGGAGTACAGACAGACATGTCCATGTGGCAAATCGGAGGAGAGTAGACCCCACATAGTTGGGGAGTGTGAGCTGTACAGGAAGGAAAGAGAGGATCTCGAGGAGGACATGAGACAGAGAGGGTGTGACATGGACAAGTTTGGTAAATTAGACAACAGCGAAAAAACGATCGCGGTAATTGGGGATAGATGGTGGGCACAAGAGGCCGTAGAGGACAGGGATAAGATGTGCAAGAATTTTTGATGTAGTTTGTGGCAGAAACGTAAAAAGCTCCCAAATGTTGGTGGTGTCTCTAGTAGGGGTAGGAACGGTGCTCCGTCTCGAGGAAGAAGGTACGAAGCGAAGACCACTTGGAGATATACGGGAAGTTGAAAGAAGGGATAGGGATGAAGAGTTACTTGGACGGACCCATGGACTACGCAAAAAGACTGAAGTTGCAATTTCGAGTAGGCGATCTGGACTTGCCACAACGGAGGAAGAGGTACAGCAGCCGTAGGAGAGAGGAAGAGGAGGATAGACAGACATGTCCATGTGGCAAATCGGAGGAGAGTAGACCCCACATAGTTGGGGAGTGTGAGCTGTACAGGAAGGAAAGAGAGGATCTCGAGGAGGACATGAGACAGAGAGGGTGTGACATGGACAAGTTTGGTAAATTAGACAACAGCGAAAAAACGATCGCGGTAATTGGGGATAGATGGTGGGCACAAGAGGCCGTAGAGGACGGGGATAACATGTGCAAGGAATTTTTATGTAGTTTGTGGCAGAAACGTAAAGAGCTCCCAAATGTTGGTGGTGTCTCTAGTAGGGGTAGGAACGGTTCTCCGTCTCGAAAGGGACGCGTGGTCAATGGTCAAATGACTACGGCAAGCAACAAATGAGTACCCCCCCCCAGCGCCCCGCCCTCGCAGCAGCTAAGGGGAGTGGTGGTGTCAGCCATGTTGTGTGTGCCTTCGGACCGCAGGTACAAATGGGTCACGTGGCATAGGGCAGCATCCCGACGACCTTGTATTGTGTGGGAATGCTGTTGGCCGCGCCATTTTGTTATCACCCCCCGAGAGTTTTGTTGGCAACCGCCTCATCCATTGCTGTCACGTTATCACCACCCATACCCGCGAGAAGAAGACAACCCGTCTCCGCCCCGAAAGCGGACACTCTACATGCACCTAGCTCCTCACCCTTCACACGCGACCTGGACTCTTTGCTGAGAAGCTCGCTCACCACATGCAATTCGCGCTCGGCGTATTGTGTGCACAACTCTGGTTACCTTGTCTGGGGAAACCCGACGTTCCACATTTTTCTCGGCTCTTTTGGAGTGGTGCCAAGGGGGTTGATCACCTTGTCGGAATATACTTGCGCCGTATGCACACGTGCGTACACAGGCATACAGGTAACCCCCGCCCCTCCCGCTTTGCTCATGCTCGAGGACGCGTGGTGAATGGTGTAACAACCTTGGCAAGAGTACGCCCCCTCCCCCCCCACGCGCTGTGGTCCGTCCGCCAGGTCTCCGGTCTAACGACTACGGCATATGCACTTACGCGGGTACACCCCCCTCCTCCTACCCTCGTAATGCCTTCTCCTCAAGGTGTTCGAGCTCCAGCCGGACATCGCGTGGGACAAGGGCAAGGCGGTGCTATGGCTCCTCGACAAGCTGGTCATACCCATGGCACAGACGCCGGAGGAACCGGCGCCACCGCCGGGGGTGGGGGGGGGGGCGGCCACGGCGTCTTCGAGTAACGGGGGAAGCGGCGGCGGCGGTGCCACGGAGGAAGAGGAGGGAGATTTCGATGATGAGTACTCGGGGCGGTTCTTCACGATATTTATCGGAGACGACAAGACTGACGAGGTACGGACTGCAATTGCGCATGTTTTTCCGTTGGCACGGAGATGGAGTGGAAAACTGGGGTGGGCGTTTGTAGCTGTTGGGGGGTGCCGCATGCTCATGTAGGTACGGAGATGGCGTGGAAAACTGAGGGTGAGGATGTGTAGCACGTGTTCAATTTGGATTCCCGGAAGCAATCGAGAGAGCATGTGATGGTCATGGATGTGTTCCTTCGCACGGTAGATGGTGTTGGTTCTAGGTAGGGGAAGATGACCAGATTTTTCCCTGCTCCCCTCGTACTTGTGTGCGGAAAGCGAGAGGATTGCTGTCGGTAGGTTGCTTGCAAACCGAAGGCGACTCGTTTCATGTCAGCGCGTTTTTGGCCTGAAGTTATGTACACTTATTGCAGCATCGTTTGCTGAAAGACGGACCAGCGGGGCTGGGGTTGGCTGCGTAAGTTTGCCCCTTCCCATGCTCAACTCGTGCGCAGAGAGCAGTAGCAGCAAACGACGTTTCAAGAGTAAAACAAAAAAAAAGTACCCCTTAATGACCCCCCTCTTGTTCACCGGCAGAAAAACTCCTTCAAGCGTGCCACCCGCTAACGACCCTCATCCACTTTTTGTTCTTCGAACGCCTTCAAAACGTACCACCCGCTGACGGCCCTTATCCTCTCTTGTTTTGCCGACGAATAACGTCCTCAAATGTTCCACACACTAACGACCCCTTATCCCCTGTTTGCTCTTCCACCAAGAACGCCTTCAAAGTGTACCACGCGCAAACGACCATCCCCGCCGCTCGCGCTAGCGGCCACTATCCCCTATTTTTTCGCCGACAAAGAACGCCCTCAAAACGTACCACCCCGCCGCCTACCGCCCTCTTATTCCCTCTTGATCGCCGACGACAAACGGCGTCAAACGTGCCACCCAGTTCAAACGCATCACCCGCTAACGACCCTATCCCCTGCTGTGTGTTTTTTTTGCGCCGACGAAGAACGCCTTTCGGGTGCTGAACAACCCTTATCCCCTCGTTTATCGACGCAAAGAACGCCTCCAAAACGTACCACCCGCTAACGACCCCTATCCCCCACTGTATTTTTTTTTGCGCCGACGAAGAACGCCTTCCGGGTGCTGAACGGAGACATGGGCGAGGATAGAGCGCGCCACGACGGCGTGGGTATCCTGGTGTCGGAGGAGTCCCGCGAGACGAACGCCGCCTACACGCTGAGAAACCCCGACGAGGTCGCCTCGTTCCTGGAGAAGATCGCCAAGCTCGGCAGCGAGCGTTGCGGGAGCTCTTCTGGCCGGTAGCAGACGGCGACAGGCGGCGGCGGTGGCGGCGGCGGCCCGCAGTCGTCGTTAGTATTGGATTTAGGAGGCGGCAGCAACACACCGTCGTTGTGTCCGTCGTTAGCGGCTGGCGCCGTTGGGGACGTACATCCCCGGTGTTGAGGGTCACCGAGGCGAAGTCATCGTCGTTTTTTGTTTTTTTTTGCTCTCGGCAACCGCACGCCGTGGTGCCGCTGCTGCCGCTGGCATCGCATGTATACGTGCCAGCTCTGGCGGCCGTCCGTGGTAGGGATTTTCCCGCCTAAGGCGGGGCGACGTTGTTAACGAGGGGGAGCGAGAGACGCAAAAACCTGTTTTTGCAGCGCTTGATGAAATTGGGGGGGTTTACTCATGTACGAACATGGGGAGGAGGGAGGTTGGTATATGGCAGCACCATGCTGAGGTGTCTGGTTTGAAGGTGGCATTGGGTTCGGATGTACGTTTTTGCGGGTGGGTAAGAAGTTGGTGGCCGTCGTATCAAGTCTCGGTGTGCATGGGATGGGAAGAGTAGTTGGCGCGGCGATCTTGTCGGATGTGGGAGGGGCCGCGCGCGTAGGCTGTTTGTTGTTACTATTCAGACACCCTTGTAGAACGTTTTGTGTTGGAAGATTATTAGTAGAATTTGCTTCTACGGCTATAGGATAAAGGGCGGCGCCAGGCCCTGTCTTGGCAAATATTGGGTAACTTTGGACGGGCGCCGGATTTGGGAGTCGTTTGCAAACCCCAACAGATGAGGCACTAGGGGCCAAATAGTCTGGTAGTTATTGGCAAAATATATATATCGAAGGTTCCTCAAACGCGCTGCAGATCGTTTTCGTTTTTTATTTTTTCTTGTCTTTTCTTAGTATGACACAATGAATCCATACCGTCAGCGGCTTCTAGTGGTTGTGTGGCACCACCTTCGATTGGATGGAACCTGTGTGTCGTGGGACGGATACCGAAGGTTGCTGTTTTCCTGTTTTTGTTCTCTCGACAAGAGGCGAAGGGGCCGAAGATCTCTCTGGTGTTCGCTCGATCGATTTTTTCAGAGCGATTTTGGGCGGTGACCCCCAATGCGTATTCCAGAGAAAGTTTTAGGGCGCACCGCCGCTGCGTGAAGAGGATTTAAAGAAGCAGAAGATTGGTTAACGATAGCGCTTGACAAGCAAACCGCAACAGCGTGACCTCGTTGCTTGCTCTGGACACAACGGTGGGCGGTAAAATACCCTCTTTTTTCGTTTTCTTTTCTTTCCTCGCCGTCGGCACAGGCACGAAGGGTACCGGGTCGTGCCCGTGACGAGACTCTTGTCGGGGCCTAGTCTCTCTTGTCGTACTACAATTAATTTGTAGATACCCGCGAAAGGGGTATGCGGCCAAGAGCAGCGTATTCTTGGCTGCCCCACGCCGCTTGTAGCTGAAATTGTCCGATGAGCTTGGTGGTGGACGGCCATCAGCTATACAGCAACCTTGCAGCGCTACTGGCAGCTTGCAGCTTCGAGCGGCGTAGATACACCGAAAGTGAAAGACGGCCAGTGTGGTGGTTGTCTTGGTCGTTGGCTGCTGCCACTCTGCTGCCTGCCTTGTCCACACGTTGATGGTGCCTTGTCTGCACGTTGATGGTAGTCACCCTGGTTGTTGCTGTTCCTACTGCTGCTGCCTGCTTCATCTACACGTGTTGAGGGTCAGGGTTTTCCGGTAAGAACCGAGTGGCCAACCTCGGGCATACCGTCGTTGACCTTCCCCGTATTGCGAAGAAACGCTCCACCGCACAACAACGTAGTACGAAGAACAGCGGTCAGACAGGGTCGACTTTGTTGAAATGGCAGCAGTAGCAGCAACAAGACCTCGTGCGTGCGAAGTCGTAGGGCGTGAGAAGTCGCCACCAACTATCGGCGTGGGGAACCAAAACAAAAAAAGGGTAGAAACCACTCGGAAAAGAAACAAAGTGACCGCACCAGCCGTTCGAGAAAAGAGTCCTCAGAAACCGATCAAAATAAAATAAAAACAAAAATAGAGGAGGACGCTTCCCACACCCGCCTAATGAAAAAACCAAAGGGTAACGTACCAGCACCAGGCACTACGAACCAGGGCATGGGAGTAACGGAGCAAACAGGACAAAGAGGCGGCAGATGGGCAGACAGCCAGACGCACAAAAACAAAAGCAACAGCAAAAGCGAGATTAAGGTACCCAACACAGCAGAGTAGAGTAGGCAGGGAGGTCATGAAAAAATCACAGCACAGAGGCCGAAGGCAATACAAAGGACATACACAAAGGAGTATAGCATACAGCAGGGAGGGAAACAGGGCGCAACAACATCAGCCGGATAAATAGTTCGCCACAAGTGCTGCCTCGGCCGCCCTATTCGCTTCTACAGCAGTGCCCGGTCGCCGTTTCTTCCCCCCCACCGCCGCTTCCCCGACTCTCTTTCTCTTCGGTCCTGCGATGGCCGTACTCTCTGCTTCTGCTTCCCTCGCGCGCTGGCGCTTCGCGGACGCTTCCGCCTCCTGCCTGTGCCATTTCCTCATGAGCCATGCCGCCCCGTCCTCGACCTTGTTGTACCACACCTCCGAGTCCTTGGCGCTCTCTTTCCATTCCCCCCCTTCCTTCTCGTCTCCCATGTTGAAGGCCACGAGGTCCTCTCCTAGACGAGACACCCAGTCGCTCTCCTGCCCGCCCCGGTATCCCACGCCCCCCGCCATCGCTCCTAACAGTATGCGCTTGGGGAGGGTTTGTCCTCCATGCGCATAACAAAGCCCGCGAAACACAGTCTCCGTTTGCGCACGGTGGCCTCGATGGTTTCCTCGCAGCCTGCCTGGATGAGGGCCTGGGCGTAGGACAGGGGGCGGTCTGAGCGTTTCCGCTTGCTCCAGCCGATGCACGGTGTAAGGAACTGGCGGTGGGTTCCACTGTGTGGAGTGGGGTTGGTCCGGTCGGCGAAATGAACTGTAAAATCAACGATGAGTGCTCCCGGGCTCCTTGCGGTCCTTGCAGGTGTGGGGGAACAACTCCTCTATTGTCCCTGCGGGAGCGGTGGAGCTCCAGTATAATCTTGATTGGGTTCGTGAGCAATGCTCCGAGTGGGTGGACAATGGGGGCCCCGCCTTGTATTGTTTGGGAGATTGTTTCTGTTTGTTCAGGACGTTTCTTTTGGTGCAGTTGTCGTTGTGATTAGTTGTGCTTCGTTTTGGGGTGCACTTATGTTGTGACCGCTGACATTAACTTCTGTGCCTACAAAAAATCGTTGGAAGAGGGGAATACTAGGACAAACGGTGATGTGGAGACGACAACAACAACACAACCAACATCAACAACGACCATGTATAGTCAACGAAATGGCGACTCTCATTCTCCTCGTCTGGCCAATTTACACCCCTCCGCCCCTTTCAAAAAGAAACGTTTATGAATATAAAACAGAAGCCTTACATTAGCCTCCACAAGAAACGGTTCTGAACATAAAACAGAAACCTTATTATATTAGCCGGTGTACGCCATCTCTTCGCCGTCCTGCTCCTCGCTTGAGATAGTCATGTCACTGCACGAAGATATCGACACGTCCGACGACGAACACCCGCNGCCCCGCTCTCGCCCCCTCACCGGCGCCGCTGCCGGCGCCGCCGCCGAACCTCTTCGAACTTGACCCACCGGACCCCTTCTTGTCGTCGACACGAGGGGACGCCGATCCTCGCAACGGCCGATTCTCTCTGGCGTTGCTGCCGGCGATACGCTCCCGACGCCACTCCTCGACGGTACCGTCGCCGCCGCCGCCGCCGCCGTCGGTCCGCTGGCGGTAGGCCCGGGCGGACATCCTGCCGGCCGAGGTCGCCGCCAGGTACCGGGGGGGCTCGGTCGTATCCGCCGTAAGGGGGGGCGCCGTGGCGATCAGCCTTCTGCGTCCCGGGGGCCCGTCGCTACCGTCGTCTCGATCCCGTTGCTCGGCAGCAGCAGCAGCTCCGGTTGTTGTGGTTGTCGTTGTTGCGACGGGTCTTGCCGCCCGTCCTCTTCGGGACCTCTCGTCAGCTTGCCGGCGACGCCCGCCGTCCGCCGCTCCTCGGCGGTCGGCTTTGGCAGCCGGCACCGCCGCTGCTCTTGCTGTCGCCGTTGGTGGTGGTGGTTCCGCCGCTCGTTGCGCCGGTGCCGGCGTCGTTTTCCCCGCTCGCGCGGCGAGTCCCGCTCCGCCGTGCTTTGGCTGGGAGCGGGAGCGGTGATGGTGGGAGGTATCCGAGCTTCCCGTGAGGAGGCGTTTGCGGCCATCGCCCCCGGCGTCTATGCCGCCGTTGTGACGACCGCAGTAGTCGCCTCCCGCCGTGGCAGCAAGCTGTTGCCGGCCGGAGACCTCGGCGGTAGTACTCCCGTGCTGCTGCCCTTGAATTTGTGCTCGTCGGCGCTGTTGTCTCTCCTGCAACAATTACAGTCGGTTGGTCGGTGGCAGCTATGTTTGAGAAAATGGACAAACCCTCCCCCCGAACCGGATCGGTTGTTGTTTCTACCTTACCCAGCGCCGTTGCACTACCGACCACGCTACTGCTGTGTTGCGCGCACCTGAGTGATGGCATTATGAGACTATTCGGAGATTACTGTCAATTGTTTGCGCAAGTCACCCGCTTCGGCGTCGCCGGCAGCCTAAATCACGATCCTACCTACTGTTCCGCGATACAACGCGCACTATTTGGAGGGTGCGGTCGCTCCCACTTTGCGGCACTGTGCGAACAAAAATCACAGACCGACTACCCGGGAGCACTAGGTGAAGCATTCGCGAATGTCTTCGTTTCCGTTACCTTCGCCTCCAGCAGCTGCTGCTTCTCAAGACGCGCGGCCTGCGCCGCCATGCTCCGCCGCTTTTCCCTCGCGAGCACCTGCCTCCCCTTGCCCTTCTTGGCCCTTTCCGCTCCTACCGAAGACCCATTCTCTCTGGTCGTGGTGTTGCCTTCACCTTCCCCTGGTTCAGCGTATGGAGGCGTCCACGTAGGTGTTAGCTTGACAAAGCAGCATCTCCCCCGCTCTAGCGTGCCCCTGCTGCAGATGGCATATTCCGAGACCACTATGCATGTAGCATGGGTTGTACGTGAGAACCTCGGCTTGTAATCATTATTTTCCTAATAAGCATGGTTCTGGATGTCATTCTCGATGCAAGTTGGCACAGACCAGGACACCACGCGAATGCCGAAGACGTGCGGCTCATCTGCGAAGGGCTGTTTGGGCGACTCGAGGCAAACCAACAGAGGCGTGTCGGCACTCCGGAGACCACCGCCTGTGCCCTCTCCCCTTCCCGCCGAAATCAGTGCGTTAAGGCGACGGCTCTGACTCACCCTCCCCTTCTGTCTCCTCCGGCAACACAACCGCCTCTGAAGGTGGGCCGTACGGTCCGAATCCCAGGGCGTTAATCGCTGCAACCTGCGAGGGGTGTGTGGCGAAAGCAAGAGGATGACGAGGAAAAGCTCTTAGGATACGTTATCATGTATTGAAAGCTGCATCAATAAATTGCTGTCCTGTTGCATGCATGGTTGCAGCCCACAGGTATCGCTGGTGAAGACGACGGCAGCGATGCTCACATATGGAGTGTCAATCTCTCGCAAAAACTTTCGCGCCAACGCTGCGCCGTTCTCTGAACGAGAAAGTCTTTGAACTGTGTGGTCAGAAAGATACTTCTACCATGTTTGCACATACGCGTGTAACGGGGACTCAAACATCGGCAACAGGAACACTCCGCAGCCGTCCAGAAAGCCTTGCAAGGCCTTCGGCTCTGACGTGTTTTGTGCGCAATTGGGAAACACAAAACCCTCGCCCGTGTTCACCCCTCCCGAGGGACATGTTTTACATGTATCCCCTCGTGAGCCTGTACCGCTGCACGGCCGGCAGGACCCAGCCACGGAAAAGAGGGCAACAGATGGAAGCGCCCCCCTCGCTCGACCTTTCACCCAGTACAGTAACCACACCAGCAGGACAGAGGCAGGTAGGCAGACAGACAGACCTTCACCCTGTAGCGCGTTGCCGGCCTCAAGCCTCTGACCGTCACGAGCGTTCGTTTCTGCCGCCCCCCCTCGCTCGCAGAGTTTGTATCTCCCACCGAGGGGACCAGCACCACCTTCGACAGCGTCGGGTTCGCGAAGCTGCTGTCGTCCCCGCCGGCGTCTGGGTCGGCTGCGGGGGACGCGCGCGCGTTTCCTGCCCCCTCGGTCCCGTCTACGTTGAGCGGGATGTTGCTGGTGCTAGTGGTGTTGTGTACGTTGTAGGTGTTAGCAGCCTCGGTGATGTCTGGCGCTTGGGCCGCCTGGTTCGAGCTATCGGCGGGGTGCTCGACCTTGACCTTGTAGTGAGTTACCGGGAGCTGGCCGCTAGCCTCGGGGAACGGTAGGTATGCCACCTTGGATCGATTGGTCGACGATGGGAAGAAGGTATGCAGGAGCAGGAAGAGGGGGCGATCTCGAGCGCTCGCGGTTGGTTGTGGCGCTCTCTGTACCGCCTATTCTCTATGAGCGTGTTTCGTTGATCTACAGTACTGCTGGTTCCGGGAGTGGTACGGACTCTGCGCTCTTGCAAGCAAATAACTCAGGACATGAGTTGTGATCGCCCAAGAATTGTTTTGGGGCTGCCACGTAAATCTCGAGGTGGTCCGATCTATCGCTAAGCTTGAAAGAGCGAGCGTGTACCCACAAACAATCTCTTCCAAAAATACAATTAACGCTTGGGTACCAAGCGTACCTGCAGCGACGCTGACTCTACCCGGGTCACCGTCGGCGGGACCTCGGGTGCCGGGGGCACCTCGAAGCCGCCCTTCTCCTGCATCTGCCGGAAGACGTCGGGGTCAGACTCGCTCGCCACGTCCATGGCGCAGAGTCCGCTCTCCCGCTCCCGTGCGGTCGGGTCCGCACCCTATTTTTCGTTAGCGCCACGTTGTGAGGAAGAGAATGGACGGAGGGAGGGGGGGCGGGAGGGAGGGAGGGAGGGAAGACACGGAGGAGGGGGCGGGATGCGGAAGGGGGCCAGGGTGGAGGGCGAATACATAGAAGGGTGTTCATGAGAGAAACAGATCGTAGTGCCGTACCGAAAGCACCGCAGCCGCGTGAAGCAAAGTTAATTGTCGGGTAGGACCTCCTCGTGTTCCGTTCTAGAAGCTACCTCTTCATGTTCGCGCTCTGCCCCATGAAACAACCGTGACGCGCAGGGCCCACTAAACAATCTGCTTTGATATGTACCTGTGTCCGCGAGGCAACAACACGTTTCGCGCGATCGGGGGCACTGGTGCGTGCGGGGACACGCGCACCGAACACAGACGGAGATAGAAACATACCTCGTAAATAGAAAGAACGAAAAATGCATAAGATTTGTATGGTAGTCTCACTCACCAGGCCAAGCAAGAACCGCACGACGTCGCCCTTGCCCGCCTGAGCGGCGAGGAACAGGGCGGTCACTCCGTTGTCGCCGGCGGCCAGAGGCCGCGCCCCCGCGGCGTGCAACGCCTCGCAAACGCCGAGAAACCCGCCGTAAGCGGCGTAGTGCAGCGGACGGTATCCCGTGCCGAACTCCGTGACGTCGGCGGCGTTGGCCAGGCGAGGGTCATCCTCCAGGAACTCCTGGATCAAGGTTTGATCAGAGGGGGAGGGGGGGGGGGGGGGGGGGCC